ATTGCTCTTATCTGAAATGAGAAATACTTGTAGTTCGCCGCAAAATGTTAAATCTAACATTTTTCAGACTAACATTATTACCTTTCGCTAGATATTCGCTCATACTTTTGTCGTACTGCAGTATTCGTTCTGTATTCATGCCATCGTATTCGTGAAATGTATGATTTAAGCGTCTCTGCAAAATTGCACAACGCAATTGGAGTAGGCTGATAGACAGGCGGGTGAGTGCGCGTCTCGATTGTAAAATCGTCGACTCGATTTATATGTGCGCCGTAGTTATATTCGATATAACCGATATTAGGGTGGAAGGCTGTCGACTGATGGACACAGTAAACCAGAATCGATCGTAGCTGGGAGATACCAGCGAGCGGGCAACGAGTTTGCCGGTAGTTCCGGCTTGTCCGTTCGTAACTACCGCGCCGACACGGCCAACAGGGTGATCCAACTTCTCTCGGATGCAAGCCCGGAGGCGGTGGTCGGGTTATAAGTAATAGCTAAATTAACATCTTAGTGCATCCCCGGAGCGTCATCTGCTATCTACGGGCCGTTAGTGCCGTAGGAGAGTCGTAAGATACACCTAAGCGCATCGCGTACACGCAAACGGTGTCCGGCGGGTTTGCCACGGTAAAAGCATCGCGAAAATGCATCCCCCGTGGTATTATCGCCATGTAATTCTCGCCGCCTGCGCTCCGTGCACACTTCGGCACACTGTCTGTCGTAATAAAGCCCGAAAGCTCGTATTAATGATCTATATGCACATACGTGTGTGATACGCCCGATCCAGTTTATGAAAATTTTACAACTTAAGCTGCATCCAGATTATTCTAATCATTTTGGTGTTTAATACCATGTTATAAAATGACAAGAATGACATCAAATAAATGTTTCATATCAATATAGAACGACGTATAATATAAATTAATTCATCTCACGTGTATTTTTTTCTGCATGTCACACAAGAAAAAGTAAACAATGTCGAAATCTTCGGAATTATAATTATGCATACAGCACATGTAAATGCACATGAATGCGTAGTTGTGGTTGAAGAGTATACAAAATGTACAAAGAATAAGTTGTTGGGAAAATAAATTGTATTATTTCATAAATTGCTTATTATTCGATTCAACTAGATTCCATCCCAGATTGATTCAATTTGCTGATGAATTTACACATGAATTTTAACATGAGAAGCTATTCTTGATTTAGTCGATATCCTTCAAGATATTCGTGAGCAATTATTCTAATTTATTCTGGTGTCTCCGCATTATTGAATTATCTCACTTTATTCCTATAACTACCTTCCTTGACACCTCAATCAACTTAGCAAACTCATTGTAGCGTATCTCGACCGAATTAGAATATGGTTAACACGAGATTACAGATCGATTTCAGGTTTGATGTCGCTTAGTTTATGGCAAGTTTCCAGACACTAACAGGAAACTGCTTTTACTGATTATATACACGATTGCATTACGTGTTACAGTCTTTGTGAATACTGCAGCAAAATGACTTTATTGAAAGATAATCAAATAAAAATTACAAATTAATGTATAGGTACAGACGATTTAAAATCAATAAACAATACCAAGATTAACAAGCCAAGCTAAGCGTTCATACCATTTACAAATTTAAATTTGACAAACATTTATCACAAAAGTGATAAATATTAAAAATTCCAAACGTTTCGACCTTTAATATGATCATCTTCAGTGATCATACAACGAAAATTTAATATAAAATTTAACAGGAATACATTTAATAGATTTACGCATCAATTATTCACATGTTTTCGTTTGATGTCAAAAATAAGAACTCGGTGGATGTATGTACATCTGGTATTCGCATTAAGTTATACAAATATCAGACGTCATGGTTGTACATACTACCGGTTGAGTAAATTCAGATATAGAATTCTTGATTTTGTTAATATCAGGGATGATTTTGACATTTGACAGTGAATCACCGTTAATTTTAAATGTAAATTTGTTATTAATAAATAAGATAAAGTATGTGATATTATAACAAGCCTGATATTAAATGTCAGAAGCCTCAAGAATATATGTACATTTTATTTATTGTGATGTTTGTGCTATTACGGAAATGAAAAGGTTTTAGAGGTAAGAGGAAATGGAGGAGAGCCAGGGATGGGAATAGTGGGGAAAGTAACGTCACTCTCGGAGTGGTAATAAAAAGTTAGTTAAGGGGAAATAAGATTGGTAATCAAATAAATAATCAATCAAGGGTCAATAAATCAACTTAGACTTGTTATTTTTCAAATTACACACCGCAATAAGAAAATTTAAATTGAAATAGATGTAAAAGTAAAGTATCTCGTCCTTATAAAAAATGTTTTCCAGCAGATTAGCTCAGTAAATATTCGCGACTTCAACGTGCAAATTCCTTAGAATATCTTCGGAATTTTTTAAGGAAGGACAAAGTTATTTGCATAGACGATTTCGCAATGATTAATTAAACGAAGACAATAGGCACCTCCTCGGTTAGGTATGAATCGGCAGGCCGTTATTCATCGAGGCGCCTAAATTAATTTAATAATTCCGCGATTTAATACTCCTTCGTCGATCCTCCCCCTCCCCCCATCCCGCCCCTTTCCTATTTTCTACCACCATCCAGATTTTCCTTTGTATTCTACTACAAAGACATACTTATTGTGCACTGAGTTATTATCAATAAAGGCGTATCCGCCTAATTAATTCGCGTCTACCTCGCCGGAAATGACGGAAGACTAATTAACTGCGAAAATAAATAATTCCAGTGTCTCCGTAAGATCAGTTGATGTAAACCTAGACGGTTATATTTCACGTCACTCAGTAATTCGCTTTGGCAGTGATTTATTATCATTCCGCCAAACTTTCTATAATAATTATTAAATTGTGTATTATTTGAAAATGAAAAAAGGGATTTTCTGCTAAATGCTAAATACACTGGGAGCATGCAGCTAGGCGCAACACGAAGCGTTCGATTGAAATCGAGATGCAGTAAGAAATATTAGACAGCCTCGTAAATAATAGTCCTGTGTACCTATACCCGTATGTGTACATCTCTCAGTGTACTCTTTTATTACCCGCACGTTCATTTTCTTCTTTCGTTTTCATGGCGCAAATAACGGTACCACTGTCCCGACAGAAACTGGTACTTCAAAAGGGTCCCGGTATAATATTTTATTTTGTGCGCGGCGAATAATTGGCGAAGTCATGTGAAATATCGTATGGATCTAATTCAACGGGTCGCTTTGCTCGTATAGCTAAAATATATATATACGCGCGTGCGAGTAGTTGGCAGCGGAAAGAACCGTCGTTGATAAAAACTTCACTTTGTCGAATGCAGAGCTCGTGTTGACTTCACGACAAATTGCCGTAATTGCAATTTCTCTTGCCGCGCATCGAAACCGAGAGCGTGTCATAAGTACAACTTCCAACTTCGAAATCGTGCATTTTTTATGCGTGCTTTTAATGAAACGACGACGTTTCATTAACAATGAAATTCAAGAATCATAAGCATTAAAATCTCTATCCCAAAAGCAGAGTCGTAAATGCGTTAAAATCTCTATCGGACAGATAATAATATTCTATAATATACATGCTGCAATCCTGTTTCGCGTACGTTCATGCGCGTAAAAGAAAAACACTAATCGCACGGCTTACCGATGTACTTACACATAAATTTCTACTTGCGGTAAGAGCTTTCTGTACTCCGCCAAGTACCTTTCTCAGTTCCCAATGGAGCATAAATTATTTTCCTAATTACTGCCAAGCCGTGGATCGCGTGTTGAAGATAATCCCGGTAACTCTTCGCCGCTCTTCCGCCACGCCGGTTACTGTGATTAAGTTTGATTTTCAACGAAACATTCTCATATTTTATAAAGTTCTCAGATACACAGAATTTTTTTTTTTTTAGTCGGTAACTGTTAATGAAATTAGCTCCAAACTGACAAAATTATCATCGATAATACTTATATATGTATACACAGAGAGAATTTTTTTTTAAATTTACCCTGCAAATCATGTTAATTATGAGACAATATAGTATTTAGGCAAATTTTACTGTGCACTACAATAAGATTTCGCAGTAAAATTTATTGTAGTGCACAGTAAAATTTACCTAAATACTATATTATCTCACAATTAACATGATTTTCAGGGTAAATTTTAAAAGAAAATTCTCTCCGTAAAGAGTTTACGGAAAAAAAAAAAAAATAAATTTATATACCATATATATATATCTATATATAAACTATATACATATATATGAAATGTGTTTAAAGATAGTATAATTCGATAACTATTTAAAAGAAAAAAAACAGAAATGATTTTTTAAATACAATACTGATAAATTTAATAATTAGAAATATACTTAATTATAACAATAATAGTAGTAATAATAAATAATATTTGCTTTATTGAAATGCAAAAGATATGAAATGATCTATATGAAAATAAATGTGATAAAGAATTCAAGAAATGAGGTGCTGCCTATAAATTGCTATAAATCCCTTTAATATAATATAATCAATATAAATATAAAAAATAGTAATAAAATAAATTATTTATAACAATAATAATAAATGATGTTATATTTTATCCTAAAGAAGGTATAATTGTTTATTCAAAACTACCATAACTCCCATTTCTGTCAACACTCTCCCCTTCTCCATTTCATCGTTCGATAAAGTCGCAGACACGGAAAGAGATGCAATCGTCGTCGACGCAGGAGGGGGGGGGGGTAGAAATGAAATTCACAGGACGATACGGCTACGAGAGCAACGCGAGCATAAAGGGCACTTTCGCTAAATTATGCATAGAGCATGAAAAATTCCCATGGCGAGCCCGGGTCCCGACTTCCACGGGCTGCATAAGGAGATTCGCATTATCGTGCATGTTGAATGACGGGAAGCGAGAGGGAGAAACCCGAAGGGTGGCCGGGAGGCCGGAGAGCAGCCGGCAGTAGTATGAAATTTTTATCAGTGGTACACGACGAAAAGCATGTCCGGAATCGGAACCGTTCTGTCCCCGAAGAACATTGCGAGAGCGAGCGAGTGAGTTTTCGCGCGAATGGATCTGCAGAAAGATCGAGTTTCATATTATTATATTATGTTATTCGATACTTGTCTTCCACCATTTGTATCGGCTACATCAAGTAATTCCTAATTAAAGATTTCTATCGGTTTCTTTAAACTTTTCGCTGTTTCATCCAATCACATCTAATCTATATTTTTCAAACTATAGAAAGGATTTGAAGTAAACATGTTTCGTGAGACAGCACGCCTTTTGAGATACTTTAAAATACTTTTTTCGTCGCTTTTATCAATATTCGATATTCTTTTTAAATAAATTTAAGAATGTATATCTTATACAGAGTCATCATTTTTGTTTCAGGCCGCTGCTGAAACAAATAAAAAATTCCGCGGAGTCGCACATCGTGCTGGACTGTTCCACCGAGAGGATCTACGACGTGCTGAAGCAAGCGCAACAGATTGGAATGATGAGCGACTATCACAGCTACCTTATCACCTCACTGGTAGGTACCCAAGATTAAATGCAATTAACAATCGACTTTCCGTCCGTCATAAGCCAGGAAGTAATCCGGCGTGGATGTAAGAGTCGCGAAATTGCATCAAGCGCGTTACTTGTAAGACTAATTCGCGCAATCTTCATCGTCCCAGCCACCTGCGGCTCTCCCTGTCTTCCTCCCAGTGTCCCTGTCGAGGAAGCCTGTGCCGAAGGACTTTGGCGCTGCCACGAAGATTCGAGATCGATAATTTTACGCCCGGAATATTTGAATCTCTCGTAAATTACCAAAGACTGAAAAGACGAGGAATCGCTTACTGTGCGAACGGCGGCTGGTCATCAGAATTGCCATTCGCCAGGCAGTGATTTGCCGTGATTGCAGCTAAACGTAAAATAGTTCAACGTTGAATTTGCAGTACTATTTTGTAATAGTGGGAGATAAATTATTATACTCAAGATAATAGAATCGGACAAATTTGCTCGATTATATTATCTTGAATATAATAATTTATTTCACACTGTCGCGCTCCATGAAACCACGGAGTGAATATGATAAATTTTATTGATACCGCAAATAAATCGTTACTCAGAATGAAGCGTTCGAAAGAAGATATATTCTAATTTTCTTAATAATATTAATAGTGACCTATAAAATATTAAAATTAAAGTCCATTAAAAATTATTAAGGCATAAGATTATATGTAACTATATAATAATTTATTTTATATTGTCGCGCGCAAAATCAAGGAGCAAATATGATAAATTCTATTGATACCGCAAATAAATCGTTATTTAAAATGAAGCATTCGAGAAAGAAGATGTGTTCTAATTTTTTTTAATAATACTATTAATAGTGACCTATAAAATATTAAAATTAAAGTTTATTAAGAATTATTAAGGCATAAGAATATATCTGCAATTATATAATAATTTATTTCACACTGTCGCGCTCTATGAAACCACGGAGCGAATATAATAAATTCTATTGATACCGCAAATAAATTGTTATTCAGAATGAAGCGTTTGAGAAAGAAGATGTATTCTAATTTTCTTAAATAATACTATTAATAGTGACCTATAAAATATTAAAATTAAAATCTATTATGAATTGTTAAGGCCGAATATACCTGCAACTAATAAAAGCTTTAAAAAAAAAGCTCTTTAGATTGACGTTAAATATTAAATTAGAAAAGAAAGTCAACTCTCGATCGATAATGCAAATAAGCGTCAATAAATTATGTCATTTTTTTGACGTTAGATTAGAATATAATTCCAAGAGAAAGAAATAATTTTCGATAATAATGATCGATTCAATCGCTCGCAAGGCCATCAGGGTGTGGCTTATCCCGAGGTCACCAGATAATGTCGGAATGTCATTTTTAACTGCAGTATGAGAAGTGAAATTCGTTTTTAAAATTTGCTTCTAGCTCGTCTGCAAGCTCATTGCGAGCATAATGAAAACGTTACGCGAGTGCAAAACGCGCAATGTGACACTCGAAAGAGTAAAAAAGCGGAAACGTCGGCCTGCTGCAGTTAAAATTGGAAGCTGTCTCAGGATAATTAGTAATTTACAGCCGCCTCGACGGTGACGCGAGCGGAAACGGAAAGGGAGGCATCACGTCAGAGTCGAGAGTCGCGCTACCGCGGAAGCGCGTCGTCGCGCCCGCGCCGACGCGACATCCGCGACAGCAATAAGTGATAAAAAATAAATAGGGCTTTAAACGGACACGCTATATAACCGCGAGCGGCGCAATTTATCTCGGTACTTTCCTCTTCCCTCCCTCCCTCCGCCCCTCCCCTCCCCTACTAGATTTCAATTTAGATCCATTAAAATGTAAATCAGCGAGGGTATTTGTTCGGGCGCGGAAGAATCGAGCTACGCTTTTTCTTCCGGCTTCTTTCCGTTGACTGTTTACTGACGGTGGGCTGTTTGTTTTACGGGGAAAAACACGGATTAATGCTGACGACGAATGTACAATCGATCGCCGATATCGCAATTCCGGAACAACAGAGGGCGTTTAGCGGTGTCACAGTGCAGTGAATTATCTAAATTTAGCCTAAAATTATTTTTTATATCAAATTCTAAATTTTATTGCAAAAATATTTCCTTTTCCATTATTTTATTTTATTTTACTGACGCGCGATGTTCCAACGCCGACGGTTGCGCCTGTATCGATTTCAATGAATTGATAAAAATTGATACAGCATTTGTTTAATATTTATTAACAACAACTTGAAAAAGATTAATGATGTGTCTAAATATCATTAATAATATTATAATCGCCCCTAATGGTTTCCCTGTAAAATTCGCACCGTTAGCCTATAGCTATCAGCTCAGACTATTAATTTATAAACTGCGTAAGATGTTTACTCTTAATATTAATTATTACGCAGACGAGAGAAAAATCGCGAGAATAAATGGAGCGGAGATCTTAATAAAAAAAAAAAAGTATCATCGAGTAAACGAAATGTTAATCTAATACAGTGGAAAAAGCGAGTGATAAATCGTTAGACGGGCGCGACCAGATTTCTCGACGTGGAAAAGCTCGGCGAGATGAAAAGTATAGAGGACTGCTTAATAATTGCTTAATGTCGCGACCGATCTCCATTGCATGTAGGGGGAGAATTTAACGGTGCCGCCCGTGATTCCCGAGACGATATGTCCCGCGTCGGAGACTATTTATTTTCACTTACGTCGGTCAGTCGTCAGGGCTCTCGGAGGGAAAAATTGGCCATCATCCATCAACCTGACCTTTCCGCGGCACGATCGGGAAGTCCGCATGGCTGTGTTACACGTGGTTGGATATATAGGTACACATCGTAGCGGGAACGGCCCTTTCCACAGCGCGGACTGGACGAGAGACAGAGAGACAGAGACAGAGAGAGAGAGAGAGAGAGAGAGAGAGAGAGTATGTGTGTGTTAATGAATCTTGCTCCTCGGTCACTCCACTTGGCTTTCGACGAATTACCTTTCATCGAATTAAGTTCGCCTCATGAAACAGTGATTTCGCAATGAAATTATGGGAGTCCGCTCACACGCGGTCCCACTGCGGAGACCCTGTTCTGAATTTTGCTTCAGCATTCTGCAGGCGCCTTCGAATTTACGTGACGTCGACGTATCGTACCTAGTCCCCGCGCGATCATTACGGTTATTATGCCTGTTACGGTTACGATGATTGTTATAGTCGTTATAGTCTTGGCCGCCATTAAGGTGCTTATTACGGACATCCATCGCTTAGGATGATACGCCCTTGGATTTTCGCGTTACATTTTGGAGCTCTTGAGCTTGGGCGGGAATATCCTATTCCGCGCTGAAATAGAATACTTCTCAAGCAAAATTCCGTTCAAATAAAACGGCTTTCAACACGGGTCTTTAATCAGGAAACTGTGAAATCTCGAAAGTCGCTTATAGAGAAGTTAATTAGGAAACCTACGAAATCCTGAAAATCCTTTAAAGAACTCAAGTTTACTTATTGAAAGGGATATGTATATATATATATATATAGATGCTGTTATATTTGTTAATGAAATTAGTAAAGTAATTAACTAGTGATTAAATATGAAAATAATCCAATATTATTACATAAAGCCAAATTATGTTTAAACACAAAATCCGAGCTAACTCGAAGGATTTTAATATAAACCAAGTTGAAAGATCTAATCGTAGCCATTACGGATCCTTCATATTATATAATTTAAAAACAGAGCTGTCATCAATTTCTAATATCGTATTATACTTCTACCTGCATGTAACGTGAGCAAAATTAATGGAACATATTTTATCGCGGAAAATGTAATAATTTTCCGTCATTCTCTCCTAAAAGGTAAAACAGCTAACAAAACTAACAGAATAGTTCATTTTGTTACATAATTGTCACCGCGATCGTGCAAATATAATCGAGACTGCAGCGAATTAAATATTTAAATATACTGCCGCAAACAATATTTTCTTTGAACGAGCCGCCGATGGTTGTGCAGGCGGCACATATCGACGTAGAAACTGAACATCTGTCAAACGTTCTCGATAATACTCCCCGAGCCCGCATACAGATTCGCTAGCTGTTCCCGTTTCAAACAACAAGTTACGAGCCAAAACGAAATTTTTGTGATAGACTCCGCAGCCGCGCGCTCACGCAGCACCGTGTGAAAAGCGATATTCTTGCCGGATCTATCATATGCCGCGGGCGCGATGATAACGCATTGAGGAAAAAAAAAGAGTTCACTCCTCTCTTTTGTTATTCGCCCGTATGTTAGTCTTGCTGATGAACAAAAATCCGATAGTATACGTGGCATATTTACACGTATACGTTACGACGTACCTTTGCTTTCGCATCGAGACGGACGCGAGAAGAGAATGCGACAATCTATTTTTTTTCCAACGTGTCGTAGACAAAAAGAGTGTCCAACAGATATTCGCGCTCTGACCGTCATCGGATCGAGCTGCGCTAACTATTGTACATATAACTATACGTGAGACGTAAATAACGGAATTTCTCTACTCCACGAGTGTTAACATAGGATTTAATCACTGCAGAATCCACGGCACGCGTATAACGCGACGTTAGTAAAATGTCGTGTGCGAAAGGGAGAATCGCCACGCTGAAAAAGGTTAGCACGAGTGGGCGCAACAACACAGCACTCGCCGTCGTATCCTCGCGGCACTTTCCAGCCTTCATCGCCGCTGGCCCCGCGTTTTACCGGTTATCCCCGCGATGACAATAATCGGTGCATACGTGCAATATTATATTGTCTATTAAATACGCATCGAGTGAAGTAATTGGAACTGATGAGTAAATGGGGTAACATAATGATTTTCCGATGATGAAATAAGCAGCAATTTTAAACTTATTTAAAAAAAAATGAAGTAAAAGGATTTAAATTTAATAACCATTAATATTATCAACGAAAACTGTTCTCCGCATTGCCCTCATTTACTCAAAGGTATTAATTAATGTTATGTAGTTATTTATTTATATTTATTGAGTATATTTATATAATGATCATAATACACATGGTCCATGTATCATTTTCTTGTTTATCCATTATTGCTTCTGCAAACAGTGTACATCGATAATTAATATGCCTATTTGGATAATTCTCTTGGTAAAATCTCTTAAAACAAATTCGGCAGCAGTTTTTCGTCAACAAGGACATTATTATTTAGTATACTCTATTTACTATTTACGAGATTTTATGTTTTACTATTTATTATATTTTTTCATTATTATTTGTAATTTAATACTCCGTATTGACCGAATCTTATGTTAATCAATAAATTTATGCATCGGAAATTTTTTCAACACCTCATTTATTCCAAAAATATTACATTATAATTTCACTGAGAAAAAGTAAATTTTAATATGCATTAGCATTTCACTTCATTAAGCATGGGTGCAAATTTTGGACGTACTAATTTTCGTAATCTTCAAAGTTGCGCTTCCAAATGATTCTCTTCATGGCCTTCATCTTCGTGCTGCCTCCCCAGAGATTTCGTAATCGTGCAGTTGCGCAACGATCACCAAAGGGGTAGTAAAAGACAGAACGGGATTAAGGGCGAGGGAAGTTCGTAAATGTAACGGGGATGCATTCCAGGCATCCCACGCCGTTATTGCAGCGCGCGTTATTCTACGTGGCAAACGATATCGTCGCCGCCGCCCGCGCCGTCGCGTTGCAACGTATCTTGAAAAGAGTGCAAACCGGATGTAGCCCGAGGCGAGACGATGATCGATCACCGCGCGACGGTCAATCGGTTCGCGAGACATCGAGAACATACGATGTCGCCAACTGTGTCCATCTACTTGGCGAAGACAGCGGATCCGGGGGCACGGGGCTTATCCATCATGCCCCGGATGCAGGACAAAGGATAATAAATGGCCGCGACGTGATCCACCGCGAGTATTTGAAAAGATGGGCCGGGGATACGCCTTCGAGCTGCGCGCGACTTTAAATCACGTCGGCCCACAAGCGTCACCGATACAGATACCGGCTCTGAGGCAGATGCTCCATGCTTGAGTTATCTCCACTCCTGTCGATAGCTACTGAATACTATCATGAGGAATACAAATTCAAACGTCCTTCCCGTTCAAGTGCCAATCGCGGCAAGTATAAATGGCGATGCTTTTCATATCGTATATTATATTTAGGGTAATTCTAAAAATAAGAGAAACATACACGATAAATGATCAATCTGTTACAATAAAGTTCATCAAGATAATTGCTGTATCGATTCTTATCGAAAGTTTTATTTTAATGCTTTCACGTATTTTTAGTGTGGTTATCTTATCGAGAATTAACATGAAGTGTACTTCTTTTTTCTTCTATTTGTATATTTGATTTAAATTGTAAGTCAAATATTGAGAATTACATGCATTGTTTAAAAAAATTCTCTTTTTATTCTTTTTATCGCGTATTTAACAATTACAAAATTCCACAATTTTAGTAAAAAAATTAATTAAGATTAACGAAGTTAAATCTGAAATATTCAATTTTATTATTTTAACTAAACTTTGAATTAAAATGTAGAATTAAATATTTATATTAATATAATTACGTATTAATTTATAATACATGTATCTATGTTTTAACAATGTAAACGCAATTATTTAATACAATATTTTGAATTATCACATACAAAAGCGAGAGTACATTTTATCGTAAAATTTTAATAAAACAAAATTACAAGGGCGTTTTAAAATGTAATGTAAAATAGAATTAAGTTTTAAATAATTTACTTTTTCAGTCTTTCAAAATGTATTTCATGTAATTTTTTAAAAATACATTTTACGTTGGAATCATTTGTTGTCTCATCTCACTTCCCTTACGCTTGTCAATACAAAATCCATTAACTGAAAGGCGTTCGCAAATCGCTTGCGCTGCTTTTATGACTTCCTCATCCAATATAAAACGTCGACCTTTCAATTCCTCTTTGATTGCTGGGAATAGTCAGGAGTCGCGGAGAGCAAGGAACGACGCAGAGAATGGAGAATAACATGAATGCTTTTTTTTCCTTCTAACAAGTCGGACGCGAGATTTTCGCAACGATAAAAATTGGCAAAAACTAAACTATTACAGAAAACAAAACATCAATCTTAAGAGTCAAACAGAAATCGTCCAGCTTTACCAGATTCGACGTCCGTCAGAGTGATCCGCGAAACCCTATGTAATCTAAACCAAGTCGTTTTGTCGTTGAGCGGAAATCCTCCAGAAAATCTAACGTCACATTGGCTTTACCATGTGAATCCGATTGAGATTTATCTTATGTGATTAATCCAGGGCAAACCATGAAACGGAATTTCCAACTCTAATTTGAAGCATCGTTGCTTCTTTCAGAAAGCCTTTTGATTTTATTATTCGCATGCTCGATATCACGGCGGAGAAAGATTTTATTTAAATTCGTAAAAATATTGAATTACTACTCTTACATCCGCGCGTTTTCTAAGATAACATTTATTAACACGTAAGATAAGATAACATTCGTGAGATCGAATAATATTCGAGCGATCGATAGAGAATATCTAAGATAATTTTTAAAAATTGTATACGCGTACTTACTCGTCGAAATCTGTCGAGTGCGATGACAGAAAAAGACTATATATTCTACAGTATCTATATACATATGGAATGCGGCTGATATAAAATTTTGATCTAGTGTAAAAGCGTGCGACTAATAGGAATTCATGTCACGGATCAAACGGAATTCTTTTCAGGACTTGCATACCGTCGACTTAGAAGAATTCAAGCACGGCGGGACCAATATCACTGCCTTTCGATTAGTGGACCCGGAGAAGCCGGAGATCCAGAAGGTAATTCAGGATTGGATCTACGGTGAGAAGCGCTACAATCGCGAGCTCGACATGGGACAGAACAGTAACAAGGTAAGGATGCGTCTCACGGAAAGTTAACGATAGTAACCGGAAATGGATTGCCGTGCAAGTGAGAGAGAAAGAGGGAGAAAAAGAGAGATAGAGAGAGAGAGAGGGAGGGAGGGTGGGCCGCTGCCGCGTATTACGGCGTCATATTGAAGTCGTTTATTTCGCCGATGCCGATATTTCGCTCTCGCTCAAAGTTCGTCTCGGGCATAAAGTATAAATATAAATAATACGCGGTGCAAGATATACGGGCATCACAAAGTGTAAGCGCAGGATGTTATGTATGCAAATGCAAAGATCGTTTCACGGCGAAATATGTTCCCCGTCCTTAAGGCGGCCGCGCGTCTCACGTAATAACACTCTAATTTCGCATTCTTCGTGCAAGCCCGCTTGACAGCCGCATCGATCTACTTCTTTCCCGGTTCTTTCGCCCGCGAGACTTAGCGAGATCCTGCAAGCTCGCGCTCTCTTTGACATGGCTGAGAATAACGGAGCGAATGTAATAATTGGGTATTACCCTATTTGAAACTTGACTACCACCGCGGGGAAATTGAATTCCCCGTGACACATGCCGATTCTCATAAGAATGCGAATACCGCAAAGGACCGAATGACTGTCCGGTTCCATTCTCAATTCTGTCGGGCAAACACGCTAACAATCGGTATTGTAAGTGACGTGAGAAGATCAAAATCTTCATGATTAAACAGGCATACGCAATACTGATTTATCTTTAAATTATCCGCGTTCTCTCTTCGAAGAACGAATTAAAAGCCAAGATGAGGTACACAGTGCGGTCCATAAGTTGAAAGGCAAAAATTGTTTAAAATCAAGAACATATAAAAAAATTAATAATTCTAAGGATTCCCAGTAAATGTCAACAATTTGAAAGAAATAGGCTAATGGGAATCAGCGCGATAATTGTTGCGCAATGATAAATCTTGATTTTAGGTTCTTATAACACCACGTGGCCGCATATCGCATGCATCTCCGTAGCTCAGAACCTAATAGTAATCTAATAAATCGATGCTTAAAGCATCAA